CTTTTTGGTGTCTGTTGTGATGTTTCCCCTTTCATCTCTGATTTTGTGCTCTTTCTTCCTTTTGGTTAACTGGACTAAGGGCCCATCAATCTTGTTTATCTTTTCAAAGAACCAGTTTTTGGATTCATTGATTCTTGTATTGTTTTGTTTCTATTTCATTAATTTCTTCTCTGATTTTTGTTATTTCTTCTCATCTACTAGGTTTGGGGTTGTTTGTACTTGCTTCAAGTCTTGAGTTGCAAATATTAAGTCATTTATTTGTGCTCTGATTTTCTAACCTTCCCCCTTAGGGCTGCTTTTAAAGTGTCCCAGAGGTGATTCAGGAGTGTGTTGCTTCATCTGAGTAGTGTAGTTACCTAGAGCTTCTTTTGATGTTGATTATAAACTTTATTGCACTGTGGTCTGACAAAATGCCAGTCTTTCACAGGGAGGTGAGGTCATTATTATTATTATTGAAAGACATATTGGATACTGTCATTTCAACTCCTTTGTGTTTCTGTTATACTTGTTTTCTTTTTGTAGCCTCTTGGCATACTCATTCCTATCTTCAGTCCTTTGTACTGCTTCAAGTATTTTCTGTAGGGCTGGTTTGTTGGTTATCAATTCTTTCAGCCTATTCATGTCATGGAAAATTTTCCCTTCCCCTTCAACTATGATAGTTTTGCTGGGTAAACTATTCTGGGTGGCATCCATGGTCCAGGCTCTTTTGGCTTTCACAGTTTGTACTGAAAAGACAGCTATAATTCTGATGGGTTTTCCTTTGTAACTTTTCTCTAGCAGCTTTCAGTAACCTTTGTTCTGTACATTTAATGTTTTTACTATGATGCAGGGTGGGGAGTTTCTGTTCTGGTCATGTTGAATTGGTGTTCTATGTGCTTCTTGAACCTGCATAGGTTAAGTCTTGGCTTAATTTAGGGAAGCTTTCTTCTATAATCCTGCTGAAGATCTGGTCAATGCCATTGGCCTGGGAGTCTTCTCCTTCCTATATGCACGTGTTGTAGGTCCCTTCCACTGAACTGTACTCCCGTCTTAGATTCAGTATAATAAAAAGATTTTGAAATTTCAGTAAAAATTTCCAGCTTTTAGTGCTGGAGGCTGCAAATGAGAATTGCCAAAGTCAAAGTGCTGAACTGTGAAAAGTGCATCATCATATTCTGTATGGAGCACCCCTACAAATCTTAAGCACCAAGGTGTTGGTTAATGTCTTAAAGCCTCCATAAAGGGGGCCTCCAGTTTTTGAAGGTGCTTCAGTGACCCCTCTTCCCACAATCTGCTTAAGAGTTTGAAACCCACCATACATCCTCAAAAGCCCAAACACTTTTATTCTTTTTTTTTTGAGACAGGGGTAGCCCCAGCTGGCCTGGCCTGGAACTTGCTATGGCTACTGCTTCCACCTGTTCCTTTTATTCAACCTACACACCCTCAGGGGACCTAGAACTACTAATGGTTACATTTATACAACTTGGTAATTGAACATGCCATTTTCCCCAGTTCAAAGGCATTTGGGGGTGGAGGGAATGGGACAGAAAGAACTTATAGTTTCAATGGCTGCAAACAAAACTATTGGCTACAACTCTGATTCCCAACAGAGGGAAGTGCTTATCAGAATCCACTTAGCTTCTACACAAATGCTTCTCATTTTCGTATGATTTAAAAATTGTTTTCGATTTTTCTGTTTTGTCTTCCCATATGTTAAGTGCATCAGTGTCATGCAGTGCCCGAGGAGGCCAGAAGAGGAAACTGATCCTTTGGAACTGAAGTTACACCACCTTGTGGGTGCTGGGAACCAAACCTGGGTCTTCAAGATCAGCCAGTGCTTTTAACTGCTGAACCATTTCTGCAGCCCTTTTCTTACCTTCCTGAAGGGTTTAAGGGTTCACAACTGCAGTGCAGATGTCAGCCACAGCCACCTCCTTCCTGGCTACAGGGTGGGATCCAAGAGTTCTTTTTGTTCTTTAAATCAGCAACACAAATACAAATAAACAAGGCTCTGAATCTGTTTCCTGGTCCTCACTTGTTTCTTCCTTCCCAAGTCTGTTTGCCAGTTGACTTTCTTCTGCCTTTTAAGTGCTGGTGTTCCTCAGGGCTGTTTTTTCCCCCCTATTATATGCTGACTGGAATGTCATCCTCTTTCACTAGACAGTTGAAGATTATCTTTAAAAGTGGTTAATGTCCAAACTTTTACTTGTAGTTCTGCTCTTCTGTTCTAACAAAATGCATAAAATGCCCAGATGATGGGCAATAGGATGCTAAATTGGATGTGGTGGCACACACTTGTAATCCCAGCACTCTGGAGGCAGAGGCAAGCAGATCTCTGAGTTTTAGGCCAGCCTGGTCTACAGAGTGAGTTCCAGGCCAGCTAGGGCTACACAGTGAGACCTTGTCTAAAAAAATCCAAACCCAAACCAAACAACAAAAAAAACCAGAATAATGAATTCCCCTGCCTCAAACAAAAACAAAAACCCAAACCACAAAGGAGCTCTTAAGATATTATCTTCAAGGTATTTAAAGTCCAGAACAGTTGGAGATGCTTGTAAGGAGCCTGATCACTATACCTCTTTGCCTTGACCTGCAGAAACCTCAAATTCAACAATAATCTTTCTAACCCCACTCCATTATTTTTATACCTCTAGCCCTTCCAAATTTAACTATTCTGAATTTAACATTGTTGAAAAATTTCTAAAACTGTCAAATGTAACTTAAAACGATGTATTTTGAATAAAGGATTCTGAACTGTAGTAACTGTAAAATCCTTTGGATTTAAAAGAGAAAAAAAAAATTAAAGTTTTAATGATGAAGCCCTGGGCAGACTAAGGTGAGAGGAAGAACTATTTCAAAAACAACAGAGAAAAAGTTTACGATGGAAAAACAAAACAAAACAAAAAACTACTGTAACACTGAGGCATCACATTCCACATTAATTTACCAACATCCTATTCTGTAAGTTCATTCTTATTTTATAGCATAATTTGATCTATTTGTTCCATGCTAAAAAGCTTACTCTCATAATTACTTTAGCATTCAGTACCAAGAAAATAAATGCCAGCTAGTGTTACCAAGTCCTTTCCCTAAAATGTAGGACAATTAATGTCTGGTGGACTGTTTTCTAAAAAAAATTAAGAAAACACACAATATACTGGCATTTTCTCCCATACTGTCTCTGCCTTTTCTTGATTAAAACACTTTTTTATTATATGTGTATGAGTGTTTTGCCTGCATATTAGTACATCTGTACTGTTCAATGCCCCCAGAAGCTAAAAAAAGGGTGTTGGATCATCTGAAACTAGAATTAACAGATGGTTGTTAGCCACCATGTAGGTGCTTGGGAACCCAATCAACCCAGGTTCTCTGCAAGAACAACCAGCACTCTTAACCTCTGAGCCATCTCTCCAGACCGTCTCTTCATTTCTACAGAAAGTATCTCTTTCTGTAGCACAGGATAGCCTGGATCTTGTGACAATTCTGAACACTGGGAATGCTTCACCCTGTACTGGCATTTTTACTTTACGGTGGCTCACTATTACAGTTGATTGCTACAAGGATCAGAAAAGAACCTGTTTGCTACTCCACTCTAGTAGACAGTTTTGCTAAATATCCACCTTTAAAAGTTAGGTGAACTCAGAAAACTGCATGAAAACACTACATCAACAAAATGTTAATATTAAAATTATTCAGCTGTCAGTGAAAACTTTTATTTTGATGTTAATAAATAACAGTGAGCTTACCAAAGGGTAGGGATTTTAATGTGTCAAGTTTTATGCATACTGCAAATAAACCTTAAAGTAACTACTCAACCAACTTCCCACTAGGCTCCGAAAATAAAACTATAATACTTTAATAATAAAACTTAAAAATACTTTCCAAAAGAAAATAAATTCACTCCTTGACCATGCTTATTTATTCAGAGTACCAGCAATTTCAGTTAAGTGCTTCACTTTTCCTGCACATCTAAAGCTGTACAGGGAACATATACATATTCATAGGATCACAATACCACCAATACCTCAGGCCAATAATATGGTGACTGTAACTGCTTTATACCATGTTAAAAAAAAAAAACAACAAAAAAACCCCACAATCCTTCTATGGGAAACAAAAATCAAAGTAAATATTCAAAGGATGTCTTATTTGTTGCCAGTACTGATTTTAGTTGGACCATAAATGAGGGTTGTCAGTGTTCCAGAAATAGTTTCTACCTCTGGTCATAAATGTACAGTATAAATACGGTGAATAAAGGTAAGCTCTAAGAACTATATATTGAATGAACAAAATAATCAAGTATTACGAATACTGCTCTTGAAGACTAATCTAATGAAAAATTAGATACGGTGAGAAATACAGACAAATCTGTACTATCTAATACCTATAAAATCAAAA